TGCTGCTCTGAGCACTGTCTGGAGCCAGCCACCCGCTTACACCGCTCGGTGTGCCGGCGGGACCCCGACCTCCCTCAGGACCACCCGTGCTCCTGATTTCCTCCAGAATACAGCTGCTTGTGTCTCAACAGCCAGCTCAAAGCTCCGAAAGGCTCCAAAGGTGACACCTCTGCAGACACACCTGCTGCAGGCTGCTGCTGCTGCTGCTCCCCGGCTGACCCGAGGCTGAGCACGGCTCTGCAGAGCGCTCCCTGATGAGCAGGGACACAGGGAAGCCACAGGGAGAAAGCAAAGAGGAAACTTGGAAAGGTGCTTTTCAGGGGAAGCAGCATCAACATGTGGCAATGATTATTTTTAAAACGAGCAAGCCGAGGCTTCTCCCTCTTTTCTGCACCTCTTGTTGCCTTGCAGGCTCTCTGTATGCGTGGCACGAGCTCTGAAGTTCGCCTGAGACTCCCTAAAGAGCCAGCAGTTGGAAAATTACATCATTCCCACATTTTTCAGGGCTGAAGTCAGCACAGAGCCCAAGCAGTGTGGAGCAGAGGTTGGGTATCACCCGAGCACACAGGCGCAGGCACGCGGCTCCTCTCGCAGCTGCCCCTTTCTTGGGGTGACCCGGGGAGCTGGGGTTGGACTAGATGGACTTTGCAGGTCCCTCCCAACCCAAACCACCCTGGTTTTATAGGACAGCACTGTCCCTCCCCTGCTGCCAGTGCTGGAAGCATGGGACACTCCTCCGGAAGCTGCACAGAAAAGGGTGACAGTGCCTTTATGAAGGCACAAGCCCTGGAGGCAGGATGGCCTGAGGATGTGTGGGCTGGGCAGGATGGAGCCCCCTGGTGCTCCTGGGTCCTGCCACCTCCACCAGCCTCTGACACACGGGCAATGCAGTGCAGGAGTGCAAGCTCGGAGATGCACAGACCTAAGTGGAGCAGCTGTTTAACTGGGTGAACTGGGATGGGAGAGACATGAACGGGGAAGCCTGGCAGGGTAGCAGGCAAGAGCTGCAGCTCGACCCACCACAACCCCCCCAGTGCCCACCTGGCCTCTGATCCCCAGCCTGGGAAGGTGACAGGGGACGCAGGCTGGGCACACACTTCAGTACCGTGAATGGAGAAAATGTGATTTCTCCCCACTATCAGAATTGAATTACAGAGGACAAACTACATTTTGGCCTCAAGTTATATGAGTTTCATAAAGGCAGAAGCAGCTTCACCTACCTTTACTGCTGAAGTCGTCCACCAAAATGAGCTCCTCGATGAGGCGCGGGGGAGACCTGCTGAGGACGCTGTGGACGGAGCGGAGCAGGGTGGACCACACCTCATCCACAAAGCACATCACCACGGAGGTGCTGGGCAGGTCGTCGTGAACCCGCTGCTCAGAGCACCTGCAACGGCAGCACGGGCTCAGGGGCACACCCCCAAACCCCCAGGGCTGAGGGTGTGCTGGGAAAACAGCAGCCTGCCAGGGCCTCAGCACCCGTGTTCCACACAGACAGGCAGACTGAAGGCTGTCCTGGGACAAGATTTCTGCTGGCCAAATTTCTGTCAGCTGCTTCATGTTGGCCAAATTTCCAGCACTCCAGAAACAACCCCAAGAGGAACCAGAGCCTAAACTGGGAGAGACTGGAACACTCCAGCAGAAGTTCACGTGCCCTGATGAGCAGGAGCTGCCAGCAGCCGTTGCCGTGAGCTGGCCCCTCGGGCCCAGCCTGTGCCGTGCCAGGAGGCCGAGGGCACGGCTCACCCAGGGAGCTCCTGCTGGCCCCCTGCCTGGCACAGCAGCACACGTCAGCTGGCAGTGCCACTGGGGACCTGCCTCTGTTTGGCCAAGGCGTTCCCCATGACAGCACCGCTGTCCTCCCCCGGGAGCTGTCTGCCCCACTGCAGGTAGCCAGGCTGTGCCCACGGGCACCCTGGGGGGCATTTCTGCTCCACAGCTCCAGGGCTTTGCTGCCAACGACCAAACCAGCCCTGGCTTTGTGCCACTGTGGCTCTTTTACACCTTCTGCAGCTGGCATCCCGAGTCCAACAGAGTGCAGGACTAGCTGTCTCCCTCCTTCCCAGCCCCACTCCTCCCCATGCACAGCCTCACAGAACCCCAGCGTGGTGGCGTTGGAAGGGACCTCGGGAGACCAACGCATCCAACCTCCTGCTCCAGCAGCTCACCCACAGCAGGGTGCCCAGGATCACATCCAGGAAGCTTGGAATCTCTCCAGAGAAAGAGACTCCACAACCTCTCTGGGCAGCTGCTCCAGGCTCGGCCACCCTTACACCAAAGGAGTTTCTCCTCCTGTTGAGATGGAACCTCCTGGGTTCCAGTTGGTGCCTGTTGCCCCTTGTCCTGTTGTTGGGCACCACTAACAAGGGTCTGGCCCCAGCCTCTTGAGAGCTGCCCTTTAGCTCTTGAACAGCACTGATCAGAACCCCTCTGAGGATTCTCTTCTCCAGGCGGAACAGCCCCAGGGCTCTCAGCCTGTCCTCACCAGCACCACAGAACCACCACAATGTCTATGCACTGTCCTGTGGGATGGGGACAAATCCTTGCACCACTGCCATCCGACCACAGCCATGGTCTGCAAGCATGAGAAGAAGGTCTCTGCATGAGGCAGGTCCCACCTGCCAGAGGCTTAAGACACTCGCAACAGAAAGAGCTGAGCATAAAGCTTTCCCCTGAGCTGGCACCTTCCCTGGCCCCTCCCTGCACTGCCCAGGCACAGTGGCTCAGGAGCAGAAGACCCTTGAGCCACTCACCCCTTCCACCCCAAGGTGATGCCCACACCTTACGCTTCTCTCTTTATGGGGACTACAGGGAGGCACTGTCTTTTTTGAAGTGCAATACTGAGATTTACTTAATCACAGAATCATCAACTCATTGTGGTTGGAAAGAACTTTAAGATCATGGAGTCCAA